CAAGTAACACATTAATCACAATTACAGGTTCCCTTTACAAGTAACACATTAATCACAATTACAGGTTCCCTTTACAAGTAACACATTAATCACAATTACAGTTTCCCTTTACAAGTAACACATTAATCACAATTACAGGTTCCCTTTACAAATAACACATTAATCACAATTACAGGTTCCCTTTACAAGTAATACATTAATCACAATTACAGGTTCTTTTCACAAGTAACACATTAATCACAATTACAGGTTCCCTTCACAAGTAACACATTAATCACAATTACAGGTTTATTTCACAAGTAACACATTAATCACAATTACAGTTTCCCTTTACAAGTAACACATTAATCACAATTACAGTTTCCCTTTACAAGTAACACATTAATCACAATTACAGTTTCCCTTTACAAGTAACACATTAATCACAATTACAGGTTCCCTTTACAAGTAACACATTAAATCTGCTATTTTAATCTCTAGTTCTTGTCAACTTTATAGTTTTTATATATATATTTAATTGCGTACGTCTTAATAAAGCTGATGGTGTTTCTATAGACGGACAATGTTACTTAGGTTCTATAGATGGATTGTGTTACTAAAGTTCTATAGGCGGATGGCAAATTGTGTTACTAAGGTTGGTGCGGATAGTTCACTTGGATGATTAGCTAATCATAAGCTGTCTCAACATGCGATTACATCATCAACATTATAGTCTAGATTTAATATATGTCCTCAAAAGTTATAAGTAAAACCATTAGTTTAACAAAACAACTATTATAATACTGTTACATATGTTAGTTTTTATCACACATACTATTGTAATTTATCCATTACTTGAACGAGGCAAATATTATAGCATAGTCAATAATTTTCTTTACACACTTTTACAGTTATCTTTTCTGAAAGGATTTTATCATACATAATGAATGAGATAGTTAGTACAGCCTATTGTGGTTTTAAATATCTATTTAGTACGCATTTAACGTATTGATTATAGTTTTCGCTTCTATGTTTAATTTGCATGACATACTTTTTTGCACTTTCTGAAGTTTTATAAGTAAAACACTTATTGATAATTCATTTTTATAACATCTGTTCGTAATGAAAAGGATGCTTATTTAAATCTCTAAATAATATAAACTAATTTTTTCATGTTTGGCTTCATAAGTTGATTTGCTCCGCTAAGGTTTAAAGGATCTACGTAAATAGTTATGTTTAACTATTACTATTCTTATCTTTCTGTAGATATTTTCACTAATCTTTGTTTAGAGCTTGGTTCTTGCTGGTTTGGAACTTTATGCATAAAACTTTGTAGTTTTAGAGTACAACTTATAATTGAACTTTCTTTATGTGTAAATCAAAGCGTTTGCAACTATTATCTTGCACAGATTTCTAACTCAAACTAATACTGTCTAAGAGGTCCAATTCAAATGGCCTTGATCAATTTTGATTGTTAGGAAATACAAGGGGAGGAGAGGTCCTCACGTGGCCAAACAACCAGTCCTCTATGAAAACCGGTAAAAAAAAGGTCAATAGAATAAAAGTTAATAAAGAACAAAGCAATGCAGTGAAGACTTATTGTGAAATGCTCATCTTACAGCATTGAATATTGTATTTCGTAAAAATGTTAATACAAAAACGTTATTGAGAATTTTCACAAATATTTTACTTAAAAAACAAAACAATACATGGAAATAAAGACGTATTGCAAAATGTAAACTGTCATTGATAAAAATGTTTACTAAATTATTATCACAGATCTGTTGTTTGTGGAAGGTCAGTTGTATTTATGAAAACAATCAAGGGCTTCAAACTTATTAAATTGCCTTCCCATGAGGAAGTTCG